TAGTTAGACAAGTTCTAATATATGCAAAGGCCCGGATAAATATTTTATAAGCAATTATGAAAATAAAACCACTAATTTGAGTACTCCATAGTGTCCCCTAACTTACCTTACAGTTAGTCGAGGAAATTCGGATTCGGACCTCTAGTCGCCTGTTGAGTAGCCCTGGTGTGTAGGCTTCCAACCTCCACTCTTCCTATATGATACTCCTATCCAATTCCGCCCTTCAGGCAAGTTCCTTGGTATCATTTTTTACTCTAATCTGTCTTGGCGAGGTCATATTCAGACCGTAAAACACTCCTTCATATAACACAAATCCTCTCCACCCTTGATTATGGCTGCTATATATATTCTTCTGCCTCTGCCTCCCTTCTAACTCATCCTGACACAATCCATCAGTCTCAGTTTAGCCCAGGCGCCTTGCGATCCTCTCCAGTCGAGAGCCTTTATACCGAATCAGACCTACCATCCCTTTCTCTTTTGTCTTTAAGAAGCTAGGCTTGTTTTCATCATTTTTCTTTTCATCAACTGTCCTTCAATCCCTTCATAATTTCTCCTCCACTCCACATTTACCTACCCTTTTCCCTGTTCATATGGACATTTCGATCCCTTCCTGTTTCTGCCCATTCTTCCCTCCCTAGCTAATATCTTCCTCCTGTAATTGCTCTTCTATTTTGCCTGATCCATTCAAATCAAACATCCCACTTTCTATCCTCCTCACACATATCTCTAGTAACTCCTCCAATACCCATGTCTATACAGACGACTCCAAATCCACCTCGGGTACTGGTTTCACCATAGTCTTTCCTTCTCACACATACAACTTTCCCCTTCCTCCTGAAACGAGTGTCCTACAACAGAACTATCTGCTATCCTCTTCGCTTTACAATGCATGTCTTCCATCTTTTCCTCATCCTTCACCAACTTCACTGACTCACGCAACTCAATATCACTCATACAGTCCATATACCCTATCAACCCTATAACCCGTAAGATACAAGACCCATTGTTTTGTCTACACGGCAGAAAATAGTGAAGTTTTGTTGGATACTCATATCAGGATCGCCGGCAATGAACAAGCAGATGCCCTGGCATGATCTGCCCCCTTGTTCACAACTCACCAACTCCGCTTTTCACACTTTGCAGCCACTGACTACCTCTATTTCAAAACTTTCCTCTTTAACCGTTGGTAGTCTATCTGGTCAGGTCTGACCACCAATAAACCATAAAATCTTGGTCGACCCTATACCACCAGAACAGACGATGGGAAACTGTCTTTACCCGTTAACGAATAGATCACACTCGACTCACGCATTCATACCTCATGCCACACTCCAACCCAACACTATACTCCACATGCAATGTTCCTCCTGCCCCCGCTTTACTGAAGCCGTACCCTCGCTTTTCCTTATCTGTCCTCTCTTTCCCGGCCCCACAACCTGTTCAGCATCCTCATGGTACCCCACCCCCACCTTTTCAATTAACAGCCTATTCTTCCTCAGACGCATAAATTCCCTCCATTTGATCTAATAACCCTTTGTCTTTAACCCTCCCCCTTCTATTATCCTTCCCCATTCACTCCCCCTCTTTCTACTTCTCCCACTACCATACTATCTTATAATGCCACATGACATTTTGTTCTAATAGAGAATTTCTTTGAACCTCTCCCACCAGGGAGGGGTTTAAAGAAGCATCCTATTGTTACATGAACTTTAATATCTAGAACATTTATTTGCTTAAAACATTAAACATTTAAACATTTCCGTTTCTTTCTCTTCTCTAACCCCTTGTACTATACACTTCCTAAGGTGTGAGAGCCGTGTTAAATGGATGAAAAGCTTTGTACCAATCATGAACGGGGGAACCTTAGGTATGGTATTTCCCTATTTAGTCGTCTTCCCCGTATCCTTCAAGGGGACCTGCCACCCTGCCAAACACTGTCTCTCTACAGCCCGCTGTCTTCTATGTGTCCAACCTGGTCACGACCATTCAGATTGCTCTGCTCAGTCACGCACGTGTGCCTATTGTGGTGGCTCCCATAATGTATTTTATAGGAGCTGCCTTGTCTACAAGCCTGAATCTGAGGTAATTTCTCTGTCTTTACCTATTCCAACGAAGTCCTGCGCTCCACTCCTCTCTCGTCTTCTCAAGATGTCTCAGCACTAAGATAACGCTCCTCTCTCTCAACCACCCTAAAATCTCTCCATTCCTAATCCCTCTACATTCAAAGTAATTGCCGATATCCATCCTCCTCCTCAAGTTCCCCCTACCCACTTCCTTCCACTTTCTCCCAACACACCCAACCTCCCCTTCTCCATGTGCACCACCCCTTCTTTTTTCTCCATTACCCTTATCGCTCCCTCTTCTAACGGTCTTCCTGATACTTTACCTCCTTCCCCTGCTCCCTTGTCTCATTCCTAGGATTCTTCTCTGACACCCATTTCTACCAGTGTTCTTCATACGTTGTTCTACGTTGTTCCTTTCCTTTCCTCAGACACATCGATTTACTCTCCACCTTAAGCAACTTCCCCCCTTTACTAATTCCTGTCTTCCTTCATTTGCTCTCCCGCTTTACCCCTTTTACTACCGTGCTATCCTATGGCGCTTTACAACCTTTGACATCTATCACATTTTGTCCTAATCATGAACTCATTTTACCCTTTTCACCATGGTACTTGATTTTCATAGTTCTACATGACCTTTAGTACTATATGACCGCATTTATTTGTTTTAACAGTTAACCACCAACCACTATACATTCATTTATGAAGTACACCCACATGCGCCCTATAGGATGTAGTGTAACAGGCAGTGCTGTGACCATTACCAAGAAGCAATGATTGGGGAGTGAGCTGTTTCATCCTAAACAGGAAGCCAGTTAACAAGAACATTTCAGGGGAAAGAGCATGCATGTTTGTCACTGATGTTTCAAGGGACTTTTGCTGTATGATATAAATGGTTGACTAGACTAGAAGGCCCTTACCTTTATACAGTTAAAAATGGTTAAATGGAGTGTAGATTATAGGCCTACCAGAGCAAGA